TTTTTTTTTTTGAAGACTGTATGATATTTATATCTAGTTAAAATTTTTGTATGTGTGTGCTAAGGCTTAAATATTTTGTCTAGCATATTTTCTGTTTTATTTCAATAACAGCCCAATTTTGCTATTGTTATCTGTTCCATTTCTCAAAAGGGTGTGAGGTTTGAGTTCTTCATCAGAACAATCTCCAAAATGGATTGTGAGTACAGAACTGCCGAGTCTTTAGCATCTGAATGGTAGGCTTCATTTCCTTTTTTCTGAACTTTCATCTGCTATTTCCTGTCTCCCTATATTTAAGATCATACTAATAGTGCCAGGGAAGGGGAGCACTGGCAGTATGGGGTTGTGGTAGTGGTTTTATAGGGGAAGAATGGCTGGGGAACACTGGGTATATTAAGGGCAAAGAGTTGGAGAGCCTCTGAGCCATGAAATTATAAGGTGATAGCATTATGTACCTTCATGAGTCCTTGTCAAATTATTGTTCTAATTCAGCAAATATAGAATTGGGTAAAATGTTTATCAAAATATGAATTAGAATCACTTGGCAACAGCATGGTAGAATTTATGTTAGAGTTAATAATCACTGAGTTTGGTCAAAATCACCCTTGCTATGTGTTAATAACTTTGCCGATAGCCACAAATGAACGTATAAGCCCAATAGAGTGTGATATTTGAATATTTCTTTTTTCCTCAGTTTCTCTCTTGCTTCTCAAAATTGATCCAGTTTTGATGTCTAAAAAGGAATTATTAGTGTTATCTATAGGATGGTGAACAAAAAGAATTCCATTTTCAATTTCTAGTCCTTCTATTCCTAGAAGTTCGGGCTGTCACTGGTAGTATGTAATTTCATTTCTAACTCTATCTCTCTCCAGCATTTCTTCTTGATGATTCATCATGGTACAGTAAGATCTCAGTTATCCAGGTAAAAAAGAGGCAAGGAAAAATCATGCATAACCCAGGAGAGTGACTAAAACACAAGTCATTCAGTTGGCTTAGAAATCTGTTCTTTCTCTGGCTGAGACTGATGCTTTTGCAATTCATGATCCTCTTTGGAGCCCTGATTTAGGAAAAGCATGTTGGGAAGTGATGAATGAATGAGTCAGCCAATAAAGGTTGAGTTCCTATCACATGTCCAGCACTACTAAGGGATAAAAAGTGTAACATAGGGTCGTCTCCTTACAAAGCTTGCATTCTGCTTAAAGAGATAAAATTAACCCACTTAACACATTGGGAAGATAATCAAGTACTAAAATGTAAGGAATGAAAAGTTCAGTAACAGTTAAAGGTCATCGTTATGACCTGGAGTTTGGTGTGGCAGAACTCAACAAAGAACCTCCTCATTTCCCTTCTCAAATTGGGGTCAGAAGTTTATGTTCTAACAAGAAAATGTATGTCAATAATTCTAATATGTATAATGAAAAGTCAGTGAGGTTTTTAGTAATCAGAACCCTGTTTTGCCCCTAGTAAGCACTCAATGTTTACTCTGACTTATTGACTTTAATTGCCTTAAAATGCAAATGTATATTGTGATTCAGAAATGGATTTTTAAAGGGAGATTATTATTCTGGGAAGAAGGAGTCACTTACCTGTGTGAAGTTGCCAGGTTATGCCCAAGTTATGGGTTAATAAAATCTGTGACAGTGATTTCCTAAGTGTGGTCTCCTGATCAGGAACATCAGTATCACCTGGAAACTTGTTAGAAATGCAAATTATCAGAATTGCCACATTACACATTTGTGGGTGGGGCCCAGAAATTTGTGTTCTAACAAGCCCTCCAGGTGATTTTGTTGCATACTCAAATTTGAGAACCACTGCCATAAGAGAATTCAGGGTGGCTAATCAAACGTTCTGAGATGGTACCAAAAAGAGAACATAAATGAGGGGAGAAACAGAGTTTCCTGGAGCAAGAATAGTTGAGCCAGAAACTAAATAGCTTTATTCTTTAAAATACCAAGGGAACTCTCTTGCATTCCTATACACTAATGATGAAAAATCTGAAAAAGAAATTAAGGAAACACTCCCATTTACCACTGCAACAAAAAGAATAAAATACCTAGGAATAAACCTACCTAAGGAGACAAAAGACCTGTATACAGAAAACTATAAGACACTGATGAAAGAAATTAAAGATGATACAAACAGATGGAGAGATCTACCAAGTTCTTGGATTGGAAGAATGAGCCTGTGAAAATGACTATAATACCCAAAGCAATCTACAGATTCAATGCAATCCCTATCAAACTACCAACTGCATTTTTCACAGAACTAAACAAAAAATTTCACAATTTGTATGGAAACACAAAAGACCCCAAATAGCCAAAGCAATCTTGAGGAAGAAAAACTGAGCTGGAGGAATCAGGCTCCCTGACTCCAGACTATTACTGTAACTACAAAGTTACAGTAATCAAGACAATATGGTACTGGCACAAAAATAGAAATATAGATCAGTGGAACAGTATAGAAAGCCCAGAGATAGACCCACACACCTATGGTCACCTTATCTTTGATAAAGGAGGCAAGAGAATACAATGGAGAAAAGACAGCCTCTTCAATAAGTGGTGCTGGGAAAACTGGACAGCTACATGTAAAAGAATGAAAGAACACTTCCTTACACAAAAATAAACTCCAAATGGATTAAAGACCTAAATGTAAGGCCAGACACTATCAAACTCTTAGAGGAAAACATAGAACACTATATGGCATAAATCACAGCAAGATCCTTTTTGACCCACCTCCTAGAGAAATGGAAATAAAAACAAAAACTAAAAAATGTGACCTAATGAAACTTAAAAGCTTTTGCACAGCAAAGGAAACTATAAACAAGACGAAAAGACAACCCTCAGAATGGGAGAAAATATTTGCAAACGAAGCAACTGACAAAGGATTAATCTCCAAAATATACAAGCAGCTCATGCAGCTCAATATCAAAAAAACAAACAACCCAATCCAAAAATGGGCAGAAGACCTAAATAGACATTTCTCCAAAGAAGATATACAGATTGCCAGCAAACACATGAAAGGATGCTCAACATCACTAAACATTAGAGAAATGCAAATCAAAACTACAATGAGGTATCATCTCACACAGGTCAGAATGGCCATCATCAAAAAATCTACAAACAATAAATGCTAGAGAGGGTGTGGAGAGAAGGGAACCTTCTTATGCTATTGATGAGAATGTAAATTGA